CATGAGGGCGCTTTGGGTCAAGTAGGTGAGGGGATTGTGATCAGACACAATCTGCACTTTGGCACCGAAAATCCATGTGTCAATTTTTTCAAGGCTTCGATGACACAACTGCTTCTCGTTCGAAGGTTGACCATCGTTGTTGACAGGGCGTTAGTTTCTTGCTGAAAAATGGTATGGACATTTCTTTTGTAATGGTTTATCTTCATTATCATTTCACCTATGGTAGGCAATCCTAGTAGCTGTTGTTCCTTATCATCTTTCTTCTCTTCTCTTTCCAATGGCTTTGTCGAGTAGCTCATACCATTCATCAATGTGTCATTTTCAGCTTATCAATTTCTTCAAATATGGGATTTCTGTGCTTGGTGAAAGTCCTATAAACTAAAAAAAATCTCAGCAATTTTTTCTTCTTCTTTTCCTAATAATTCTTCATCAACATGATGTAGATCGTCTACCTCTGACTCGGGCTCTTCTATTAATTCAGCAATTCCTTCCGTTTCTTTCTCGTCTTCCAGTTCTTCGCTGTCATCCGAATAACTTTCTGTTCAATCTTCCATGTTTTCACCATTGAACTTGAAAGGTTTCTGTGGTTTTTAGTTTCATTGTGGATGACATTTTCCTTTTCAGTTTCAACTTTTGTTGTATAATCCACACTTTCTTTTTCATCTCCCAGTTCAACAGTATCTATGCTGTCCTTATTGTACTTTTTGTTTCTGTTATCATCCAGAATTTCTTTTTCAGTAAATTGTAATAGTTCACTGTTATCTGCAAATTTATTTTCAGTTTCAAGATCTGCAGCTTCTGTGTGATTTACATTTTCATTTTCAGTTACTAAGTCAGCTTTCACACTTTCCTTATGGATTATTAAGTCATTCTTTTTATCATCTACTTTTTCCTTCTCGTTTCCAATTTCAGCAATATATTCTTTCTCTTCTATGTTCTCATAATCAAGATTTACTTGAGTTTACTTTCATTGACAGTTTTTTTTTCAACTGGGATTTCAGTCTCACCCATAAAATTTGTTTTTACTTTCAGGTGGAATAATTTCTACATCTGCTATTTGCTGTCAATTAACTTTTCCTCTTGAGTTCATCTTCTGTTTCTACCCTCTTAGTTTCTTCAGTTTATAATTTCTTCCTTCTGTGCTTCCTGTTCAACAATTTTATCTTCTATAATTTCTGTTTTCTCTATTTCTGTAAAGGGCAGTTCTTTACAACTTTCACAGAATTTTTTAACATCTTGCTTAATAGTAGGCCAAAAGAATGAGTACTTGATTCGTTGAATTGTCTTTTCTCACCGAGTGGCCGGCAAGAGGATTTCGTGTGCCATTCTTAGGACTTCCCTTCTTTTTTCTAAAGGTAACACAACTTGCTTAATGTTTTCACCACAGATATATTCGGAATGAAGTAATATGCCATCATCGAAGTATATGAATTTTGATTTTTTTGCCCATTCAGAGCATTTTTTCAGAGTTTCGTCTTGTTTCTTGATGTGTCTTGAATTCTAGTCTTACTCTATTCGTTGTTTTCCGAGACTCTATGTTTTCTTGGGAAAGCTGAGTAACAAAAGCCAAATTTGTAGTATGTCTTCAACTGGTGAGGGTTTATCATCTGTCTCTTTGTACTCTAAGGGGGATGCATCCCAATGACGATCACAGTTCCACAGTTCGATATTTCCACAGAGTGTTTCATAAGCTGAAGAACTCAATAGCAAGTCGGTGACTAGCTTTTTTGAAACAGCACACGTAATGGACCTCTACCGTGAAATCATCGTCAATTTTCATCTGGAAAATCTTTATGGAGTAATTTCGTTTTCACCAAAAGCAGAAGATATCTCTATTTTACTTTCTCCTTCGCAAGGTATGTTGTCAACCAATTTCTCACGGACTACTGAAATTTGTGCTCCCCGTGTCTACGATTCCATTTAGAATAATATCTCCACATTTAACTTTGACCAGTTTTAATTCATCTATGTTTCTAGATACGTCCACTGATTTTGAGACAGGAATAGAGATCTTGGCAGTTAGCACTTCTGGTTTTTCTTTTTCTGCTAGGGGTGCTTGTGTTTGTATTAAGTTGTTTTGTGCTGTTGCAGAAGCACTTCTTGGTATCCGATTTTTGGTACATAACTTAGATGTATGACCTTCTTTTTTCACAATTATAGCAAGTTAATTTGAAATTAGTCTTTTGTGGTTCGTCACTCTTACGGGATGTACACTCTTGGCGTGTTTTCAGCGTACAGCGATTTATTTCTGAAAGCTCTTTCTGGAAGTGGAGAACGAGGTTGCCATTTTTTATTAGTTCTGTCTGCTGATGGATTACCACCATTCTGTTTTGAGATATTACGAACACTGTCATATTCGTCAAGTTTATCAGCTAATTTGGTTGGAGAAACGAATTTCGCCCAGGTCGTCAAGAAGATGGTCTCTTACTTCATAGGGGGTACTCTTTTCTTAATTTGGTCAGTAATAATCAAGTCTTTTAACGCGGCAAAATTTGTGATTTCAAGACCATTGATCCATTCTTCAAAATAACTTGTAATTTCGTAGCAAAAATCTCTCCATGATTTTTCAGCGCTCTTTTGGTGCATCACAAATTTTTTTCTTTCTTCAAAAAGCTTTCAGGATTTAATTTAAATCTCTTCAATAATGTACTCATAATCTTCAAAAATTTTCTTCAGATTCCCTACCAATTAATTGAATGATTTCAGATGGCATTAAAGTCAATAAACATGAAACCCAATCTTTAGGATCAATCTTTGTCCTTTTAGCTTGTCTTTCAAATAAGGATAAATAAATCACAATATCATCGTGTATTAAATTGAATTTGGGAATAAGCTTAATTAAATCAAAATTATGATGTCCATTTTCATTTGTTGGTGGAGTTTGTGTTAGTCGAACACGAGATTCAATTTCGAGTTTCCTCAATTCAAATTCCATTTGCTCTCTTTTCTGCTGTGCTTCTAATTCTTCTTTCCTTCGTCTTTCCTCAATCTCTTCTTTTTCCTTTCTTCGGTGTTCCTCAATCTCTTCTTTCTCCTTTCTTCGCTGTTCCTCTTCTTTTCTTTTCCTCTCTTCAATAATCGTTAAAAACACTTCTTTAGCAAATGCTTCATCATATGTATCACTTTGAATTATTTCATTTTTTATCGCCACGATTTTCATACTTGGATCTACTTGAATTTCTAATTCAGCAGCTAAAGCCAGCAAATCCTCTTTTTTTCCCACGTCCCATAAAAGCCATGTCTCGATTTTATTCAGCCAATAGACTCTTAGTTTTTATGAAAAAGCTATTTTTTTTTCTTTTCTTTTTCTATTTAAATATAATTCACAATGAATTTAATTTTATTCGACACGAAAATCAATCAGTAGAATCAATACTTAATGTGTTGTTCACCTACTCTGGCGAGTCAAACGAAATTACATTTGAACACTGGCGTATTCATTACTTTGAAAATTACATTTGAACACGGGTATTCATTTTGAAAATTACATTGAACATTCATGAACATTTGCACGGCGTATTCATTACTTTTTTTGAAAATTACATTTGAACACTGGCGTATTCATTACTTTGAAAATTTTGAACACTGGCGTTGAAAATTACATTTGAACTGGCGTATTCATTACTTTGAAAAGTAAATAAACTAAGATTCCATGACGGAAACAATAATTAACTTTCCATAATCTTAATTAACTATTTTACGTTTCCAAGGTAAATTGAGCTCTCACCTGAGTTATTTTGGTTCGTAATTATATGCGGGGAAACTCCGATCCTGTCGACTGCGCCAGTAAAAATCCTTTCCTTATTTCAATATAATGAATATTGAATCTTGTAGGAAGAATAAAGCTAATTTTTTTAGAATAAACAAAATACCTTTATTTAAATTTTAAAACAGAACCAAAAAAAATAAATACTGCAGTTCTAAACTATCAAAAATTTTAAACTCTTAATTACTGCAGTTAAAACTCTTACAACTATTCAAAAATACTAAAACATTAAAACTCTCTTAACAAAAATATATATAAAAATCTTTCCAATCCTCTTCTTGTTGCCACACCGTAAAATGCAAGTTCTTGTCCTATTATTTATATTTCACGTTCTCTTAAAGTCACGATCTTCACAAGTCATGATCTTTACAAGACTGAAATTTGAATGTTCGCCAAAAGTAACTAAAAGGTTCACCTTATCAAAATTTAAAGAATATGTTTATAGAAGGAAATTTTTAAATTTTTTTAATTAATTTAATAAGCCGTAGATGTACTAGCAAGGTAACGAACAGCTTACCTTCCTCGTAAAAAGCCGTATATAAATTTAAATTTAATACAATTTAATTAAAAGTTATCACTTAGCCAAAATTTCTCCAGTAAGGGAGTCCATGCTATTTATTTAAACTTGAAGTCGTGATTCTGCATTTAACTCTTCGAGAGTTAAATCTTCTTCTCTTAGTGACGTTATCAAATACTCTATAAACCTTCTTCAAATTTTAGGTTAGATGTGTCAATTGTGGGGATTAGTTTTGGCATCACAGAGATTTTATATTACACTGGCTCATCAATTAAAAAAACACAAGATGTTATACAACGGCGTAGACATTTCTTACATATACATATATACCATCAAAGGATAATTTGTAATTTTGTTATTTACAACTTTTTCGTTTCACAATTCTAAATTCCTTATATCGGTTTAGGGTTTAGCGGCAAAAGAAAGAAGGTGATTTGAGGATGTGAACAAACCTTTTTATAAATTTAAACACAGAAAAGACCATTGTTAAAACTCAATACCTAAATTTTTATGATTTATACTGATATCATTTATTAACGCAGGGGCAACTAAAGTCTAACTTTCCTTCAGTATTTGCTTTTAATGGCAGAAGAGTGGTTTTAATGGCAGTATTTGCTTTTAATGGCAGAAGTTAACAGAATATTAATAAAGTTTCTTATAAATTTAAGTATGGAAACGTGTGATTCGTTAACTATTAAAAATAAAATAAGTACTTACTATAAAAGAGAAGCAGACTGATAAGATCATGCTGAAAAGGATAAAAATGGTGTCATATTTTCCAAAATAAAATATCATTGAGATAAGATTTCAATCAAATTTTATTAGTTATTTAAAACCAAATACGAACTGACACTGAAAACGAAAAGAACGGACATTGCGGTATCTTTTCTTAAATTGCCTTGAGAAAGAGCAAAATATTCCCATTTACTGAATTTTTACATCATAATTTATTTTTTACATTTGAATGTTTTGCTAACTTGGATGCACTACGAAGTTTTAATAAAAAAAATCTGATGTGTACACCACATGACTTCCTTGTACGGAATATTAAATTGGAATATTAAATTATACGCATTTTTTCTTGCATTTCATTTAAACTTATTGGATTGAATTAAATCTACTTCGCCGACAGCGCATAAACCACAATAGAATAAATGCATTCTTTAAAATTCACTTTGTTTACCATACTGACACTCTGGCGCTACGGTTTACTTAGCAGTATTATATTTCGTTCATATTATAACTCAGAATGCACAAAATTTATATCATTTAAAGAATTATCTAATCGTTGCCACATGTTCTATTCAAATACTATAATAAAGCTAGAACGATGTATAAAAGAAATTAAGAAACCAAAAAAGAAACAGTTTTCCACAGACGATTGAGTATTTCTCATTCAATTAATTCAGTTTTCACTTCGTGACAAGGCAAAAATACATAAAAACTCAAAATATCTGTATTAAAAATTACGAAGTAAATCTTAAACGCTTATTTCCTCGAAAAAATTCCAGAAAGGATTAAGCATGATTTAAATAATAAATGAAGGCGTTATTTTTGTTGTTGCGAAGCTAGGTTTCTCTAGATTGGCAACAAATCCCTACTCAGCTGTTTCAAATGTAAACAAGAACAATGGCCGCCATCAAAATAGGCTTAGCGGCACTTAAACAATTTTAAAATTGTTGATAATTCTAAAAATATTGCATACAGATTTACTAAAGGCATAAAACCCTTAACCGGAAGATAAAAACAACATAATTCAATCATTTTTAAAGCAAAAAAATGTACAATGTACAAATATATAAGAGTAAAGAAACTGAGATCACTGAGCCGGGTAACAAAGTGGATATATTTATAAATATATTTAGATACGTTTGGCGCGGCCGATTGAAACCAAAATACGAGGTGCACATCTACATGTTATAGTAGTCTTATATACAAAATTTCAACGTTCTTGAGGCTACTCGTTTTTGAGTTATGCGAGATACGTACGTACGTACATACGAAACGAAACGTACGTACGAAAAATTCTCTTCAGAATTAATTTTAAAGCAGTTTTATAATTTTTTTGAAGGAAAAGAGTTTTATTTTGTCCTTACGTACAGATATCACGCAAAAACATCATTAAATTGCATTCGAAAGCGGTCAAAGTGGATATTTTCGTTGAAATAAGCTGCTTGAAGCTTTTCGCGATTACAATACTTCCTTTTTACTTCGTACAAGGAAGTAAAAATAGCAATCGTATAAAAAATCGCATGTTATTACCATTTCGTCAAAGTTTAATTTAAAAATAAATTCCCCACTTTCGACAAAAAATTTAATATCTTTTAAATGAAAGCTTCTTACATCGTCCACGTGACTTTTTCATACTTAGAATTAACGTATTTTTTAGTCAAGTTGATGAAGAACCACCAATAATAAGGGCACTAGTCTATAAACTAAATGAATTGAACAGGAATCCGCTATTAATTTAAATCTTCTGCGCATTTAATTTTATTCAAGCTTGTTTCCGAGCACTGAAGTTCAGATGGCCGAAAAAATGGAAGCCCAGGAATTAAAAAAATAATTCTGCAGAAATGAAGAAAGAAACCGCAAATTTCAGTAAATGAAGATTCTTTTATTATTACTATCCCAAAGGGGCAATTTACTCACAAAAGCTATTAATTTCGTTTTGGAATTTTGCGTTGAATCATTATAAACGACGAATCACTTTTCAAATTTTTGCCACCAAATATTAGAGCCCTGTATTATATTTAAAGAAATTAAATGATGAAGAATCTGCATGAATGTATGTATGTTTCCTGCATTGTGTAAAAAACGGTACTTAGAAACATCACATTTTAAATAACGTAGTCTTCCACTCAAATATGGGCATCTGGAAGCCTAAATTTGGAATTTGTTTTATTTTCTATGTCATATTTCCATGGCCTGCTTATTCCTCGGATATGTTGCCCATTGAGCACGTCTGAGATTCCATCGTCGGCATTTGGTGGAGCATACACTAAGAATGAACTCAAGTCGAAGTCATATGGAATGTCATTCCCTAGGATTACATTCAGAACCTGTAAGATTCAATGCCACGGCGTGTACAGGCTCTTATCGCTCAGCGTGGCAGAAACACAAAGGACTGATTTCCGACATTCATTTTGCTTTTTTGTCTTGTAAATTTGATCGTTTATTTGTACCACTATCGGTAGTATGTGGAATAAATTTCATTCATTTTCGACAATTCCTTCATTTTGTTACATTTTTCACAAACATTAGTGTGTGTGCATATGTATATATATATACATATATATACAGGGTGCGTCAGAAAAATGTATACACAGTTTGAATTCTGATAGAAAACCACCTTTATTTTCCACCCTACAAATTTCTGGGGTGAATAAAGCTATAGTCCAATTTAAAAAATAAGTACTTTCTGGTCATACTGAATGTTAAAAATGGCGTTTAAATTAAATGTTCAAGATGGTGGCATTCAGTATCGATGCACTTCTGAGTACGAGTCACAACTGAAACTGAGTCGAGTGATTCCGTACTTCGCACCAAAGTGTCCAATGGAATTTCTGCGCACACCTCTTGAATCTCATCTCAAAGTGTGTCAAGATTACGTGGTTTACAACGCTACACCTCATCTTTTACTGTGCCTCATGAAAAGATTATCGAGCGGCGTAAGGTCTGCAGAGCGTGCAGGAAACTCGATTGGTTCCCTGCGTCCTATCCAATGGCCTGGTACCTTATCACTCCCCATTAGCACTTACATTATTTTCACGTGACCCTTGCCTTGAAGATTTCTATGGTGAATATTGAAACGCTTCCAGTATTGGAAAAGGTGGATCAGTTCGATATTTGCATCTCCATTATCTCTGAACCACAGCAACATTCTCAAACTTAATAATCTGCTTCCGCTCTTGAAAGTTCAAATGCACATCCGCCATGTCGAAGTTATTCTCTCGGCACTAACTGGGTTGCGCAGCTACATCGACGACTCTGCTGCCACATTTGTTGAGGAAACATAACATTACTTTTTCTTAGAAATTTAATCTTGTAAGTAGGATAATATATTTTCTTTGGCGGTTCACATTTTTCTGATGCACCCTGTATATCTTCATCAGCTATATATTCCTTTCCCTAGTTCTGCATTTTATACATTTCTTTTTAATCATGTATTTTACCTGTCAATTTACTTTTGTATGTAAATTAATTTATTTTCGTCAATACAAAGTCCGATGAAACAAGACATTTTTCCATTACACTGTACTGTACTCTGTAACTGGTAGCACGTTCAACTAGTTTTCTAAGATTCGTGATTTGAATCCCCCATAATTGATTTTTTCACGCTTTCTTACCGGAGAAAAAATAATAATTCTTCTACAAACTGACCCCAGAAAACAAAGCTTGAAGACGAACTAATTCACGATGGATTCACGATTTATTTTAGGTCTATTATTATTATGACAGTAATTCCTGATGGATTTAAGGTATATTTTAGGCCTATTCACTATTCTATTCACTATTCACTATTCTATGGAACTAATTCACGATTTAATTTAGGCCAGGACGAGGCCCTAATTTTCACTCTTCTTAAACTTTGCTTATTTCAAAGTACGCAAAAAAGAGAGCAGGTAAATTCTGAGCCACAAATTTTTCTAGTATTTTTTTTTCGCGTAGCAGTCCTATAAGCACGCTTTTATATTGCCTAAAAATTTATCTAGTTCTGATAAAAATCACCATTGTTCAAAAACTCGGTTCAGATTTTGACCTACTTTTTTCTTTCTTTTCATAGTTTTACAAATAACGGAGTATACGAAAAGCTCAGAATTTTTTTGTATCCAGAGGTATAAGTAGTGTCCAAGAGCTCTAGTTATATGCCATTGATTAGTGCAGTTTTCAGATTCTCGAAATATGTCGAAAACGAAATTCCCATTGTCACGGAAAGATTCACAGGTGCACTCTTACAGATTTAAAGAGAAATTTAGAAAATAGATTTTGTCCTTAAACTTACTTTTCTGTTCAGCTTTTTTTTTTTTTCCCCTCAACAATATTCGTATTTCATTTCGTAATTTCCCAAACGATGGAATTTAATCTAGCATCTTCTAACATATCTAGTGTTCTTAAGTTAGACTAACTGCAAATATAGAATTTTAATGTCTTAATGATAAACAGCTTTTGATAGTGAATTAGTGTGTGTGCTGTATCTACGAGCTAATGTTTTTATGTGCAAAATATTTTTGCAAAATTTAAACATGATTCCGGATAGGAAAAACCATACATCATTATTTAAATAACTTCTAAATATATTTATCCATCTTGAATTTCTAGTCCACATAGCTTTTTTCTGTGTAGTATCAATGTAGATCGAGACCGTGTTATCAAACAAAGCGTAAAGGGAAAGTGTAAGATGGATCTGTTGAAGAAAACATCACAGTAGGAAAGCAAATTAAGTAAATGTTCAAATGAAACGCAAGATGACAGTATGGATTTAAGCAAACAGTGTAGTTAAACGGTAAATAAAGCAAAAACACTACGGGAACTGGCAAAAAATGTTGAGTTTAAAAAACAGAGAGTAGAAGATATTACAATACGGCTTGTAAGTATACCACGAGTTATTGGGGGTAAACATTAAATAAAAATGTAAATACGGTGATAACAGATGAATGATAAACAGCAGCTACAGATTTAATCGGATATGATGTAGGAAATATATTACATACGTGCTTACAATTTTTGTTCTCGAAATAAAATAATTAGTAGTGATAAATAAGTAATATATGGAAACCTCCTAAGAAATACAATTTTGAAGTAAACCACCGGTGGGTGACCCACAAATCCTAACTTTCGGAGGACTCCGAAGTTACTTAAATCGGCACTTAGCGCTGCTATTACTTTCATCTTCTTCTTCAGTTTGGTTTATATGATCATGGCAAAGCACACGAGGACTATCAAATAACGGCAAAGCACACGAGGATCACAACAAAGTACACGAAGATCATGGCAAATCACACGAGGACTCATGGCATAGCACTAAGAGGAGGATGCTTTTGTAGAGGACGTTTACGGGACATTGGCTGAATTTTAGGTTACAACATATCGGAAAATACACAAAAACGCTCATGCAGCCAGCCTGTTTGCCTGGAATCGAGCCCAGGTCGAACTACGAGTGTTCAGGGACTTTACTCCTCAGGCGCTTGTCAGCACTTCTTCAAGACATCTGAATTTTTTCCTAAAAGTCTCCACCGCTGTTAAATTTCATTTGCCTCTGCTAATTAGTAGAGCTGTTATTTATACACACTTCCGTGTTTTGTGCATTCATAATAACATTAGTAGCACAATGAATTTTTCCTCACATAATCAACTAAAAAACTTGATTATGAATGGAAAATGTGGTGCTTGGTTGCTGCCTTGATAGAAAAACAAGTTGGATCTTATTAAATAAAATTAATAATGTGTTCTTGCTACATAAAGTTTTCAAAGTTCTTTTAGAATTCAAGACAAAGCCCTTGCTCTAGTGGTCGAAGAAACTGGTATTCGTTGTTATTATTCATCCTATTGCTTTTAGGCTGAACTTATGAAATACACTAAAGGAATTCAGTAAATGGAGACGTCTTGTAAATGATTACACCGCAGGGGTATAGAATCCAGTCCTCTGAAGACATCACATTTGAGAATGCTTAGCAATTTTTTTGTAACCAATGGCAGGTGAATGATTTTTTAAAGGGCAATGAAACTGTTAAATTTGAAATTCATAATACGAAATTCGGGGGTAAAAATCTACTTCTTCATATATGAAATAATTTAAAAATAACATTTATAAAAAATCGTTTCATTATAATTATTAATATTATTTGAATCAGAAATAAGAGATAAAAATTAAATTATAAAATTTCATAAACGCTTGATATGCATTTTTTAATCCAAATTTCTGATTTTAGAGTTTTTATTTCAGCATTTTTGGCAGTTTATTTGTATTCCAAGAGCGTCTAAACAGAAGTTCATGATATGCTAACAAACCACGATGCGTATAAATTTATAAGTCCAATTCTAAAGAACAAAGCAAAATTATAAAAAACGCTTATAAATTACATTTGAAAGAAAACTATATAAATTACAATACGATATATATTTGACATATACTTAAATTTTCAGTCTGAATAATCTGGGATGTTAAGAAAATTAATAAAAGTAGAGTAAAATAAACAAGACATGTAGCAATAATTATTAAAATTTATCTTTCAGTACAGAGGTCACATGTAGTAAAAAATAATCATGAATTATTTAAGCGGTTTTATTGACTCTAAACAAAAAGTATACACAACAGTTTTTTCATTTCTCTGCGTGGAAAAAATAGAAATATCAAAAATGTTTGTAAAAATTTCTATTTAAAATTTTAAAATAGCTTTTTAGATTACTACAAAAGAAAAATGAGAAACCTGATAGATAAAATTACTGTCATTATCTTCAGTAGCATAATAGTAGTTTTATAGGATATTATAATGATGGAAGAATTACCAAAAGACCTTTCTTTACACGTAACTGCATAAAGTCCTGTTGCTTTATTATTTTAAGCATAAATGTTTTCAAGTTCAATTTCTTCACATGTGCGATGATATGTAAGCAGATAAACTTTATATATCAGTTTTGATAGTGTATATTTACTGAACACGTATATTTCAACATAACCAAAGCATTTTAAAGCAAAATAGAGAAAAGCAAAATTACTTTTTTAAAATAAAATTTGTAATAAAAACAATAAAACTTACGATATTTTCCAACAAATGCTAAGTTTTAGGAATCAAATTAAATGTTTTAATGCCTTTTTTTCGTTTTTTTTAAATTGCTTTGTAAAAAGTATGCATTCTAAACTTGATATCAAGCTTACCAAAATTCCACCTTTACAGCTTTAAACTTTTTAAAACAGGAAGTACGGAATCAAAAATGCTTACCTACAGCAGACTCACATAAGATATTAGAACATAGCATTATGAAGTTTTAAGTGTTGTTATTCATCATCCTTGATGCTCTTAATGAAGAAATGGGGTGCCGTTACGACAGAACTTCTCGGAATGAAGAATCCCCTGCACGAAGAGATGCGTGAGAAAATATTCCCTATAGGGAAAAAGAAAACATTTTCCCCTTCTTAATATCAGCAGTTTTGTTGAAACCTCTCTGATATTATTTATCATTAAATTTCATAGAATATTTGTTTAACATTTTTTCTCCAAATTATATAAAGCATTTAAGAAAACTATACCTCATTTTTAAAAATGTACGTTAATTGTAGTTCTACGCAAATTCTAATAATTGTCACATTTAGACATATCTAGGAGCACCACGAACAGAAAACACCTCTTGTTCATAAATAAAGAACTATCAGATCGTTTTTTATTTTTTCTGTTTTTTAATTTTTAGCAAAATACTATGTAATATTAAATCACTAAATAACAAAAAAATTAATTTTTTATATATTTTCTGTAGTTATGGCATAATAATTCCTGTATAGATATTAAGAAAAATGAATGTACACAAATACATGTACACAAATGTATTCAAATGTGTGTACATATATATTCTTTATTATATTATTCCTACCAGATTTATTAGAAAGTCCTCCACGAAGGTACCCTCCCTTTAAGCTAATAGCCCTTTTGTTCTTATTCGTGCCATATTCAAATAGCCTTACCTATTAAAATTTCTGCTAATGTTGTTTAGCTAATGGTTGGTTTCAGCTCGTTTAATTTATTTGTTATTTTATTCACGTGTATGCAGCACGTACAGACTTATAAATGAAGTATAGAGATGCCTAAATTTGTCTTGTTATAGGGGTGTTACTTATATTAGCACTCACCTTGATAGTTATTCTTAATTCTAATTATATAACATATGTGTGTTACTGACATTAATTCCAGCTCTGTAAAATGCTGAATTTTATACTTCTCATTCTATAAAATATTATCTGATAAATTCTAAATACACATTCGAAAATAAAGAACATAATTACAAAATTTTTAAGTAGCATATCTTAAAATATCCGATTTTCCACAGTCTTTTCTCAGTTCGTCATATCAATGTTCAGTTTTCTTAATACCTTCACGAACATTTTTTAACTTTGTTTTTAAACACCAATTTCTTCTCTCTTACGACACATAAAATTGAACATTAACATCCCCAAATAGTGTTAGAGTTACAATGCAATTTTCAGTCTAGAAGTGCTATTAGTCTCTAACCTCACTTTTACGTCGAATTTCTTTTGTTGTCCAAATCGCTTTTCAAATAACTAGCCGTTGACGCGGCCAACCTCCTATAATTTTTACTATAAAAAGGAAAATAGTTTAATACTTTTAATAAATCCACATAGCGTAATTTCACGAGTCCAGCTATTAATTAACAACAGAGAGAAAGAATTGCGTTTTTTGTTGTTCAGAGGACTTGGTACTCTTTGCCCTATTTATTTTATTTAAGAACTTTCATCAAACAATTTACAAATATAAATGTTTTTAGTAGACAAAAGGATTTTAAACTGTTAAAAAATTTTTAATTAAAATTTTTTGAAAAAAAGTTTAACAATTAAAACATCTTTCTTCTTACTAATACAGAAGTCAAACAACAAAAATCAGCGTTATACCTTCAAAATTTTCACAGTACTAGTTTCGATGGTTTTACCGAACCATCATCTTCAGCTGCAAAACCGCAAATGAACAAGATAGGAAATAATGATTAGATAAGATAAGAAAGCCTGAACAAGAATAAGCAAGTGGCGCCATCTGTTGGCGAAACCAGAACTAAAACATAATTTCTCTCTAAAGCCGAAGGCAAATTTTGGATTGGAATTAGGACCGTTAACTAGAACAGAAAGATTTTTATGAATGTGAAATGCCTCTAGAAAATCCAGTTCTCCAATGGAAGATGTTTTTTTGAATAATTTTGGCATCAAAAAATTGAAAGTGTGATTTTCGGACCAGCAATGTTGAGCAACAGAAGACTTCTGTGTTTCCTTTTTTCTAACATATGCCTCATGTTCTTTGACGCGAAATTTTAAGGCTCTCTTAGTTTGGCCAATGTAAATTAAACCACACTGGCAAGGAATCCTATAAATACCCCAGGAATTCATATCCGGAATGGGGTCCTTGAGTATGGAAATTTTATTGATGGGAGAATAAACAACCCGAAAGTTAAATTTCTCTGCAAAATATGTGCAACTTTATAGCTAATTGATGGAAAGAAGGGAATGACAACAGAATTTTTATAATCTCCTAAAATAAGAGTGTGCCTTTTAGTGTGTTCAGATGAGAATTTTTTAACTGCTTGATTAATAATGTTGGGTGAAAAGCCCCTGTCAATAGCTATTGCTTTTAAATAATTTAGTTCTTCATCAAGGGCTAGTTTGGAGAAGCAAACTTGAAGAGCACGCAAAACATAGGAATAAAATGAAGCTAACTTTTGTTTAGCCGGATGACATGATTTAAAGTGTGGTGGAAGGCAAACCGATGAAGGTTTACGGTAAACTGTAGTACTGAAGTTGGATGTGTTACGTGTGACCAGAATCTCGAGAAACGGAAGAGAATTGCAGTCTCAAGTTCAAAAGTGAACTGAATAGCAGGATCAATAGAATTCATTGTTGAAAGAACTTTATTTAAATCACATCTTTATTACCTTCAAACAGGGTAAAGTATCGTCTACGTAGCGGAACCATGCCGGGAAGTTTAAAGTTTCAAACAATTTTGATTCATAATAATGCATGTAGATATCAGCCAGGATGGACTGAGGGGGCTTCCCATGGCTAATCCCTCAGTTTTGCTTGTAATATTTATTTTGGAAAACAAAATGTGTTTATTTCAAACAGAGTTGAGTGAGAGAATTAGCTCCTCAATTTCGATGCAAGAGAAAATGAAATTCGCGAAGTCTGGTTTCTAGACATCTTTAATGCCACCCTCCACTGGGACATTGGTGAATAATGATTTTACATCAAAAGAAACCATGAGTAAATTACTAGGAGAAATGTTTTTAAAAACCTTTTTACAAACTCTATTGAATTTTTTATGGTGTAAATGTTATTGTCTAATAGAGTGGAAAATCTAGAAACTAAATATTTAGCTAAAGGATACGAGGCAGTACCTAAATTTGATACAATAGGGCGGAAAGGAATACCACTTTTATGAATTTGGGAAGAGCATATAATCTGGCACAATTCGCAACAGATGGGATAAGCGAATGTTTTTAAGTTGCTTGAAATGATTGCGAAGAATGATTTTCTACATGCATTTTATGAATCAAATTGTTTTGAAACTTTAAACTTCCCGGCATGGTTCCGCTACGTAGACGATACTTTTACCTGTTTTTGAAGGTAATAAAGATGATTTAAATAAAGTTCTTTCAACAATGAATTCTATTGATCCTGCTATTTCAGTTTCACTTTTGAACTTGAGACTTGCAATTCTCTTCCGTTTCTCGACATTCTGGTCACACGTAACACATCCAACTCAGTACTACAGTTTACCGTAAACCTTCATCGGTTGCCTTTCCACCACACTTTAAATCATGTCATCCGACTAAACAAAAGTTAGCTTCATTTTATTCCTATGTTTTTCCGAGCTCTTCAAGTTTGCTCCTCCAAACTAGCCCTTGATGAAGAACTAAATTATTTAAAAGCAATAGCTATTGACAGGGGCTTTTCACCCAACATTATTAATCAAGCAGTTAAAAAATTCTCATCTCAACACACTAAAAGCCACACTCTTATTTTAGGAGATTATAAAAATTCTGTTGTCATTCCCTTCTTTCCATCAATTAGCTATAAAGTTTGCACATATTTTGCAGAAATTTAACTTTCGGGTTGTTTATTCTCCCATCAATAAAATTCCAACTTCTAACTCAAGGACCCCATTCCGGATATGAAATTCCTGGGGTATTTATAGGATTCCTTGCCAGTGTGGTTTAATTTACATTGGCCAAACTAAGAGAGCCTTAAAATTTCGCGTCAAAGAACATGAGGCATATGTTAGAAAAAAGGAAACACAGAAGTCTTCTGTTGCTCAACATTGCTGGTCCGAAAATCACACTTTCAATTTTTCTGATGCCAAAATTATTCAAAAAACATCTTCCATTGGAGAACTGGATTTTCTAGAGGCATTTCACATTCATAAAAATCTTTCTGTTCTAGTTAACGATCCTAATTCCAATCCAAATTTGCCTTCGGCTTTTAGAGAAATTATGTTTTAGTTCTGGTTTCGCCAACAGATGGCCCCACTTGCTTATTCTTGTTCAGGCTTTCTTATCTTATCTAATCATTATTTCCTATCTGTTCATTTGCGGTTTTGCAGCTGAAGATGATGGTTCGGTAAAACCATCGAAACTAGTCCTGTGAAAATTTTGTAGGTATAACGCTGATTTTTGTTGTTTGACTTCTGTATTAGTATTTATTCGGCGTGTTATTGTGTCTTAATCTTTCTTCTTGTAGAATTTTCAATGTTTTTGCACACCTTTTGTGTTTATGAAAATATTCTTCATCTTTAAGGATTGATTTCGCAATTAAGGAATTAGTTTCTGAGAAAAAAAAACAAAAAGCATATTTATATGTAAAAACTTTGAAAAAAGTATGATTTTAGTAACATTTCCATTTCCAATAGTTCCTCACCCATCTTTGTTTCTATAAGTATATAATAATAAACACACAGTAAAAGTTCTAAATAATTTAGTTTATATCTGTGTAAGTTTTAGGATTTTGAGTAAAAGGACAGATAGAAAAAAAAAAATGCAAACTGAGAAAATATAGTTTAACAATCTCTTAAAAGGATTATTAAAACACTTATCGTTTTTAAATATTTTTCCTACTGAATTTAAATGTATATATAAAATTAAACCTATTACTATTTAGTAATAGGTTTAATTTGGTAAACAAAAATTTAAGTTAGAAGCTTTTATTTGAAACCTTATCTGATCTGAAATATTGCAAGAAAATTATAAAATGTAAGCAAAATATTTTATCTGTTTTTATTTTGTAAAAAATTTTCAGTATTAATTCTTTACAGTATTAGTATATAAATTAACTAGCTGGGGTACTCGG